GACTTTTTTTCAAAAGCAAATGTAAGGATTTTATTTTGCGACACTTATACAAGAGCAAAAATGTTATTGCTTTTCCAATTGTTTTTAAGTTAAAAAGTTAGCGGAAAAGTCAGAGAAGTTCATCGGCGTGAGGTGATAGATTTCAAAGCCAAATAAAAGAAAGCGAGTCCGAGATTTTAAATTTATTTATTCACATACATCTATATATATATATATATATATATATATATATATATATATATATATATATATATATATTGCCCTATGTAAATGGTTAAATTAAAACAATATCAGGTTTTCTTTTATTATTTTGTATTTCTTTCAATCAAGTATCTTGGCTTAGTAGTAATTTTTTCAGAAAAAGATATTAAAGAATACAAGTTGCAGATTTATATTTTGATAAGATTCGATAGTGGCACTTTTTTTTTTTTTTCCTTCTAAGTAAGTTACTATCTGTTTTTAATAAATATATTCACTCGTTGAAATTTGTAGTCAAAATTTATTTCTGTTGTATGATTCATGCATTTGAACAATTATTGTTATAAGGTCCCTTTTATGTTCATAGATATATTTTTTAAATATCTGCAAGTTTCTGAAATAATAAAGAATAATTTGTTTTGTATATACCTGCTCTCAATTATTATTATTGTGGATATTTTTAGTTCTGATCATATCCATGATCACTTTATATGGAGTTGTAATTATTTTCATATTGTTCACATTGTATAGATTGTTTTAGATATTGGATGTTATGGAGTTCGTAATTAGTATTAGTAAATGTTATTTTTTGTGGTTGTATATTTTTTGTGCCTTTTTTTGTGTTTTGATAAGGATATTGGAGATGTTTAAAAGTGTTCTCTCTCTCTCTCTCTATATATATATATATATATATATATATATATATATATATGTGTGTGTGTGTGTGTAAAAATATATAGAAAATAGGAAAGAACTTGTTAGGTAAATAATCTAAAGTTCTTTAGTATTTTTGTTATTATTTTTAAAAAAAAATAGTGCTCCATACAAAAGTAGAGCATAAATATAAATTTATTTCTGTGTATGACTCATGCATTTGATAAATTGTTGTGTATAAGGTCCCTTTTATATTCAATAATACTTTTTTAAAGAATTTCTACAAGGTTCTCCAGTCTATTGTGAGGAATTTTTATTTAGAGGATGTGACGGAGTTAGTAGGTATTATTAAGAATAGGTTATTTTTTTTATCTAGTTTACTGTTGTTATATTTTTCGGTCTTCTATTTTGTGCGCCTTTCTTTTGGTTTTGTGGATAAAAGGATAAGGATATTGAAGATTTTTGAAAGTATTTTCCATGTATATTTATTCTTTGGTTAAATGAGATCAAATAAACTCTGTATCTTCTTATACATTTTTAAATAGAACCCTATCATTATTCCTGAATTGATATATTTCTATTGATTGGAGGAAAAACTGACTAGCTTAGTCTTGTTATTTGTTCTCGTGTACAATTTTTCAATTATACACAAAATAAATATATATATATATATATGTTTGTGTTTTAAATGTATTATGAACTCATTTGGAAAACTTCTATATTGAAATGTTAAATCGTCTGCATAAGAACAAATATTTTATTTCAACAAAACTTAATAGAAAAAAAGAAAGGCAAAAAAATAAAAAAACGGGATCGAGTGTTTTGTTTAACGACATATCGCCTTATGGGTCATTTAATGCCGAAATCGAATTATATTGGTAGCATGATTAATTTTTTTTTTCAAAAGATGCTTTGCTGGTAATATTTATTTTTTATAAAAATTATTGATTGTAATATTTATTTTTTTTATCAAACAAAAAGTGCATAGGTGGTAATATTTATTTTTTATAAAAAAAATATTGCTGGTAATAATTTTTTCTTTAACAAACATATTTTGCTGGTAATATTTAATTTTTAAAAAAGGGTATTTCTGGGAATATATTTTTCATTTTCAAATAATGTTTTTCTTATAATTTTTTCATTTACAAAAATATATTGCTAGTAATATTATTTTATAAAAAACATGGCGACAAAGATGAGGACAATATTCCGAATAATGTAAAAATTGCACGTTTATTAGTGTATGTTTCTGTTTCTTATTTCGACTCTGTTTTGTTTCTTGGAAGAACCGCCTGAAAATTTAAGAATCTAGGATCTTTATTCTACACATTAAGTCATTATCGTTGCTGGTTCCCATTGCCCCTGTTGGTGATCTAATACACGCCCATTTTGTCCTGGGGGTCAAATATGATAGTTGATGTGAGGTTTTCATAACATCCTTTTTGTTCTGTCGGTAACTGTTTCAACTGTTCACGAACATCACCAGTTGGACTCTACTGAGCAATAAGAATGTCTAATTACTCTCTAAGCTTTGGAGCAGTACTGTGTTGAATTTGATCATAAACAGACATGTTCATCATTAATTAATTACTACGAGGGATCATTATATACACATTGAAGGATTGAAATTAATTTCAAAATATATATATAATATATATATATATATATAATATAGACCTTAACCAGACTAGACGATGTCATCTTCCGACTTTAAATTTAGACACCCCAACCTTACCCTGACTTGACCTCTTTGAATGTAACTGAGATATTGATACAAATTACGCCTCCCTTTTTATTTTTAAATAATTGCTCTAGCCGTTACCATAGTAATTTTAATTTTAATAATGAATATGCTTATAAAAACGCGTAAATTTAAAAATTAGTTAAAAAAAAAAAATCGTTTGAAGATGGAACAGAGCTTACTTTAATTCAATTTAATTCAAATAATTATATTGAAGTTTTCGGCTCTTGTTTTGAAACATGAGAACTCTTATGTAGCGATGGAATCATATTTTTTTGATAAATAATTATATTTATATATATTTTTGTATCGAGCATTGTTTTTTAAAATAAATAATAAAAAATTACTAAAAGAAATTTGGATTATTTACCTAACGAGTTCTTTCCTATATTCTATATATTTTCACACACACACATACACACACACACACACACACACACACACACACACATATATATATATATATATATATATATATATATATATATATATATATATATTGAACTTATATATATATATATTATATATTATTAAAGATGTTCTTCGCCTTCTCTAATCTTTTAACTTTCCGTCCTGGAGTAACACTTTTCCTCACAGATTTCAAGTTAGATTTCATTTTCCAGACTTTTTCACTGCTCATTGTACACTCATAGCTGAAACTCTTCTCTAATGTGCGTCTTGAGTTGGATCTTTTCTATTTGATCTCTTTAGCTTTCAGTTGAAATGATGATCCTTCCTTTTGCTGTGACCTCCTGATTCAGTTTTCCTCTCTACTGTTCCATCATCTTTAAACTTATTCATCGTACTCTTGATGGCTCTTGAATGGACTTTGAAGATGGAAGCCAAGGTATCAATATTGTTACCATTACTGAATGCCTCAATGATCTTTTTCCTCCCACCATTGCTCAGTTGAGAAGAGAGTCGGGCTAACACAAAAGGATTTCAACCTATTCTTTTTCTAGCTGAATAACTCAACGCTTTTTTCAGTGATTCTTACGACAAATGGTGTCAAGATGGCTAAACCTCTTACCTGTTTCCTATTATGTTTATGTCCAACTGCTTTGTAGAACCGATTCCCAAGAGCATGTTTCCCTGATCACTACAATTGTCTATGGTTAACCTGTCCGCATAAACTGTGGCTATAAATCAATAACACTCTATGGCGAGTGTACCACCCTTCGGGCCATGTACAGAATGAAACTCACTGTAATAAAAAAGGATTCTTGTATTTCCTACTAATATTACTTGTTTATTCTTATTCGTCTTGCGTTCTGGGTATGACGATAAACTACATCCGCGTCCTGGGTATGACGATAAACTACATCCGCGTCCTGGGTAAGACAATAAACTACGTCCAACAGCAGGGCGTCTGATAATACGTTTTTGAAAAAATAATATTACCAGCTATACGTTTTTGAAAAAAATATTATCCCCTATACATTTTTGAGGAAAAAATATTAACAGAGTTAGATTTTTGACAATAACAAAAATATTACTAGAAAAAAAAAAAAGGGTTGTCGGCATTAAATGACCCATTGAGGTTGATATGCCGTAAAACAAACCAAATCAAACCAAACCTTATTCGTCTTATTATTCTATTTGTTCTTATAAGCGTTCACCTTCAGTTTGAAAAAAAGAAAGGTGAACATCTTATTCAAACACTTGGTTAATTTCTGATGGTGTTAATAATTACATCTCATTCAGGCGAAATGCCAATCTGGCACCTTATAGCCCCGTTAATATGGTTGGAAAAAAAAATGCGTGCATTGAATATGCCCACTTCAGCTGTATGCCCTTCCCTGCCTCCAAACGTGACTGTATGCAATCCACGTCATTTGGATCCAATGATTTTCAGCGTAAAACTTCCTTTCGCTTCATATTCTGAGGCTGAGAAACCATCCCTTCCCCGAAAAACAACTTCCTCCACCGAATTCCTTTCCGTTAGATAAAGAGAGAAAAATATTTCCCAACAGTTGCTAAAAATTGAGTTAAATGGATACTTTACGATTAATGGCGGCTACTGCACGACACGATGGTCTTTAAATGGACAACTTACACAGCGAGAAGAACCTTCCTTTAAACAGGGATATTCCAAATAGATTATTTCAATTTCTTTGTGTTAATATACGATATTTATTTTATTAAAATCCCTATATTCGCTATAACAATGTTCGGTACAATAATTGTGTGGTTAGAACGTCCGCTTTCCGACGATGAGACCCAGTTCGAATCTCACCGTGGTCGATTTATCAGGAAGGTATTTTCTTGATGTTATCTACCTGGAAAGACTAGCCTGAAGACTATACAATGGATTGACCTAACGGAACTATGTGGGAGCCGTCAGTGTTTGTACCGGAACTATGTGGGAAGCGTCAATGTTTGTCCCTGATCTATGTGGGAGCCGTCAATGTTTGTCCCGGAACTATGTGTGAGCCGTCAATGTTTGTCCCGGAACTATGTGGAGCCGTCAGTGTTTGTCCCGGAACTATGTGGAGCCGTCAGTGTTTGTCCTGAAACTCTCTGTGAGCCGTCACTGGTTGTCCCAAGTCATTTGTTCTGACTGTTGACCACGCCAGATACTGTGATCTTTCCCGGAAACTGTAGCTAAGGTATGAACCACAGGTGGTTTAAACGAGCGCAAAATGTGTCTGTGTAGGCGTCTGTATCAGGCATTAGCTAGCCGACGCAATTATGTGTACACCCGGCCAGCCACCACCATTATATTTAGAATATCGTCGTTCTTTACAAGCTATTAATACATGGAACGACTATCACTGCAAAATCTTATAACATTATCATATTAAGGAATTTTTATATTGAAAGTGTCTTGATTTGGTAAACTGGATTGGTGTTATTCTCCTGCATGTTTATTTAACAAGGCACTTTGCAAAACAAAGATAAGAAAATTAGATTCTTTAGGATGGGATGTACTTTAAACAGAATTTTTAATTCCCAAATGAAGCACCTGCAGATATTCAGTTGTTTGAATCCCAAGAAAACATTATAAGCGCCAAAACATTTGAAAAGAAAGAACTTGATCACGGTATTTCTATAAATGGTGAATTTGAAATTCGTTTTCCCGTTCGTCAGGATAGTTGTTGAAAATGACGTTGATTATTATTTTAAAAAAATAATACTTAACAAAATTTAACTTTTGTTTTGATATGCTTTCTCGTAAGCGTAAATACTGTAATTCTATGTGTACAAGACACAAGTGTTATTAATCCAAAAACGTATCGAAAAATCTACTGCGTCTTATACGTTAGTTTAGAACCCAATTCCTATTTTTTCAGAACTCAAAACGGATAAACTCGGGTTAAATTCGATTTATCTGCTCACCGGTGTTACATATGTAAGGGCGTATTGTAACAAAGGGAGATAAATCTTTCTTAATGTTTCTCTGGGTCTTCTACGGTGCCGTGTTTGTTACCGGATTTCGTTGAGTCTAGACGAGTTTGTAAAATTAATCAAATGTAAAACTATTTATTCAGTTTTATTTCTATTTTATTTTCTCGGTTTGTATTGAATATTTATTGGTTTTATACCCCAAGACTAGAGTCATTATTCCGTTTTTGTAAAACTTCAGACAGTGAAATAACATACATTTTCTCACGGTAGATTATCATTTCTTTCTTGGTAGACTTTCTCCCAACCAAGGCTATAGAATCCAGTCAGTTCTGCTATTCAGTCCATAGCCGGGAGGAGTAAAGGGCATTTGCGCGTAAGTAATTGTAAAGAACCCGACTGGAATTCGAACTTATCTGTCCTATTTTCTCATTCCCAGCCGTTATCCATTACGAATCTCGTCATTCGGTAGCAAGGCGTCTGATCGAGTGCTAGGTCTTGGAGCGTGAAATGACCCGTTAATTGTTGTTCTCAGGTCCAGCTTGATTCAGGATGGTAACACCATTTATGGTCCCAGCTATAGGCAATTAATGAACTTCCAAATAAAACAGTATCAAAGAATAAAAATATCGTAAAACTATAAACAATACATTTTATATAAAAAAAAAATGACCAACAATACATTTTTATAGCAAAATGACCACTAATATATTTTATCTGTAGTTGAGTTCATAATATAGCGTTAAAATATACTTATTTGAAGCCATAAAATTTTGCTCAAAATATTTAGATTTTGGCATTATATTTTAATTTAAATATATGCTCTTAAATAGGAGCCGGAGAGTGACATCAGTGATGTCAATTGACTGGTATTTACTCGTTTCCCCACTAGAACAAGATGTGACACAAGATCGTTTTAATGTGGGGACCCGAGCGCGTACACCCGGGTGTGCCAGTGATGTCAATTGACTTGGTTCATCAGGGTTTTTTCGGTCTTTCACATCATGCACCCCATCAGCAAGTCGACCCAATCAGGAGAAATCTATTCCTGATTCCCCCTCAAAATTAAACGCTAGCAGAGACTCTGGCCTTTATAATAAATTGGACGAAAATCGACTCTCTAACAACCAAGGCTATAGAATCAGAGTCAGTTCTGCTGTTCTGTCCATAGCCGGGAGGAGTAAAGGACATTTGCGCGTAAGTAATTGTAAAGAACCCGACTGGAATTCGAACTTATCTGTCCGATTTTCTCATTCCCAGCCGTTATCCATTACGAATCTCGTCATCCGGCAGCAAGGCGTCTGATCGAGAGCTAGGTTTTGGAGTGTGAAATGACCTCTTAATTGTTGTTCTCAGGTCCAGCTTGATTCAGGATGGTAACACCTTTTATGGTCCCAGCTATGGGCAAATAATGAACCTCCAAATAAAACAGTATAAAGGAATAAAAATATCGTAAGAATATATTTTATATAAAAATTTTATATAAAAAAAAAAAAATGACCAACAATACATTTTTAAAGCAAATGACCAGACAACCAACATGAACGAACTCTTTCATGACATTAACTTATATATTATCCAACAATAGTAGAATTACTAATAGATTTTTATAGCAAAATGACCACCAATACATTTTATCTGTAGTTGAGGTCATACTATAGCGTTAAAATATACTTATTTGAAGCCATAAAATTTTGCTCAAAATATTTAGATTTTGGCATTAATTATTTAAATTTAAATATATGCTCTTAAATAGGAGCCGGAGAGTGTCATCAGTGATGTCAATTGATATGGTTCATCAGGGTTTTTCCTGTCTTTCAACATCATACACCCCATCACCAAGTCGACCAAATCAGGGGAGTTCAATCTCTGATTTCCCCTTCAAAATCAAACAGTAGCAGAGACTCTGGCCTTTATAATAAATTGGACGAAAATCGACCACGTTTTCCGTGCACTCTATTGGATGTTTGTAACAACCAATCCACTGCACGAACTGAGATTTAAATTGTCCACAGGGTGACTGGTTTCTTTTTTTTCTTTTTTTTTCCGGTGTATAGCAGCTTCAGAGGATAATCAAGGAGGTAATTTAACGTTCTTAAACTTAACCTTTTGTGTTATTTCACAAACAAGGTTTGGTGCCTTACTCTAAAAATTTACACTTTTGATTGTTTAATTTCTTCTATAAAATTATATAACTTAAAACTTCTTCTAAATATTATATTATTTGAATGATATGGAGATTGATATACCGCTAAACAACATCAACCAACCAGACGACCAACATGAAAGAACTCTTTCATGAGATTAACTTATATATTATCCAACAATTTCCTAAAGAGCTCAAACTGTATTCCAAAATATGACTTCAACAAAACTACGACATAAAACACACATATCACCGCCTCTAGTACTTATGTCCACACAAACATGTGTATGATCAAAAGCTGAGTATCATCTACCATGTAGTCAATTGTGAAAGCAGAATAACGTAGATGTTTATTACTTCAAAACTAAGAAAATTAAATTTCACCATTAAATGACAATATAGGAATTGATATGCCGTTAAACAGACAAGAGAAATCCAACTATCTGCGTATTAGCCTTTTACTTCTTTTTGATACACTAATAAAGGTCCTAATTAACTATGAATTGTTTAAGCATCCCACATCGCGCGGTCATTTTTTTTTTCGGGCAAGCAAAATGGCTTTCGTTTCTCTACGTCAACTGCTGATGTATTAATGATCATTTCGGAAAGAGTCTATCAGATTTTTTGTTAAGAAGCGTGAAGCTTGGACCTTTCCTTTAGATATCTCGAAAGCCTTTGACAGGGATTGGCATGCCGGTCTTCTTCACAAATGGGAAATTTGTGTCGCCGGACGAATTTTTGAAAAATTCCACGAACGTTATCCTGGACGGTCACTCTTCTACATCCATTCATACTAATGCAGCTATCCTCCCAAGGGCCCTATTGTTGATTCTACAGTGATCTTAATTGTCACTAATGATCTTCCTGGTGGCGTCAACTCTCAACATAGAATCTTTGCTGATGACGCAATCATATACTCCTGTCTCTATCGTAAGACTGATCAGATCGTCAAATTGTCGGCTAATCTTAAAATAGACCTACAGTATGGTGTTAACTGGTCCCAAGGGTGGCTTGTTAATTTTAACACCTATTAATCATCTGAGAGATATCTTTCTGCCTTCCAATCAGCATGAACTAATGCTATCCATCACGAAACTGACCCTTGCGCCAAATTGGGCTAAAATTCTCGGCTTACATGGAGTTGAAAGACATTGATTCACTGTGTTGCGCTAGACAATATTTCTTTCTTTAATTTATCCTATATATCTATACATCTCCCATTCGTACATGCTTACAATATTGCTGCCACATATGGTCCGGTGCTCCTGTTTTATATTCAGAAATTCTTGATAAAATCAAAAGAGGAACCAGCAATATTATTGGTCCTGATCTGACGTATCGGCAACATTCTTCCCGCCGTAAATTTGTTTCCCTGTGATTTTTCTATAAATACTTTCATGGTAATTGTTCGGGTGAGCTCTTTCCTTGTGTAAATACTCATTGGGGTTAACTTTTAGAATTGTTGTTTTATTCCCCTCCCCCCACAGACAATGAATTGTAAATATGGGGACTAGTTAGTATTTTCATAGAGACAAAGAGGTATTACGGTGGTTGTAGTAAGAAAGGTACGTATGAATGTGTTGTTTTGGTGTAAGGAATATTGTTTTGTACGATTGGGTCAGTGTTTGCGGCTAGCTAAGTTATAGTTAAGACAGAAGAAGACCGTCCTTTCCCCAATCTCTCCTACGGCCATGTGCCACATTTCTGTAATGTACAGAATAAATATTGCTCTTTCCTTGTGTGTGAATTGTACATATAAGGACTAATTAGGATTTTCATAGAGACAATGTGGTATTAGGGTGGATGTAGTAAGAATAGTAAGTAAGAAAGCTTTATTTTGGCGTAAGGAACATTGTTGTATGATTGGACCAGTGTTTGTCGCTAGCTCAGTTTAATTTAAGACAGAAGAAAGACCTTACTTCCTCCCCATTCCCCATTTTTAGCCTTGTGCCATATTTAGTAAATATTACAAATAAATATGTGCTGGGGGATTATTACTTACATTATTTTATTTAGTTTCTTGTAAATAAT